TATATATATATATATGTGTATGTATATATATATATATGTGTATGTATATATATATATATGTGTATGTATATATATATATCTCATCACATCTGAACACAGTGCAACACAAGTGCAGTCTATTGCAACACTGGTCCAAAGTGATTTAACACATCCGTATTAAGAGTTTGATCAACACAGCATGGCAAGTCTTCCAGAAGACGTATTGTACCTTTATAATAGTTTAACGGCAGAAACATAGAATTTCTTCCTCTCTGTGTCATTTTTTTTAAACAATTATATATGAACAATCTATCTTACATTAATATAAAATGTAATCTTAGTATTTTAATATTACTGCTATGACTACTATTTTGTTAATTCATTATGTTCATTTCTGAAATAATTATTTCCATGATAGCTGTGTTAGTGTAAGGGATGTGTAATAAAATCAGGGGAATTATGAAGCAAACTGTTTCTATCTTATATCGATAAGAGTTTTAATATGGTTTTGCTACTTCTGCCATTTTGCCTGGCGGTAATTTGAAACCAGTAAACAAAGTAATCGTAACCCCCTCTAAACCAATCCTGGCTCAGTTAAAACCCACCGATAACCAATCAGATTGCAGAGCCGTTTGAAATGAACGCTGAACGAGCCAATCAGCAGCCTTCGCGCCTTCCTGGTCACTGGTGGGTTTTGCCCAGAGAGGGAGGGAGAAGGAGCGCTACGTGAAACGTTATCGCCGTCCGTTTTTAGAATATAAATCTTAATTTATTATTTCCTCGTCTTGTCAAGGAATATTTTATCAGTTTTACTCACTGGAATTACTCCTGCAATAATAAGGTAAGTACGCCTCAATACATAGGCTTGTGATGAAAAATGGCAAATCGCTGTACGTTTCTCTTTGTTGGGAAATTTGGTTTTAGCAGTTAACAGAGACTAGGCGCCGACTAGTTCCTGGAATCTTACCTTGTTTCCAATGGTCAAAGTTAAAAGGCTGGAGCGACTATTAGGTTGTGTGTAATCAGCCAGTCCTTATTCTTCTTCATGGCTCAGAGTTGTATTAGAGATGTTTGATAGTTTTTCGTCCAGGTGACTTTAACTATAACGTTACCGTTATGGACCCAAGCGTCTCCAGAATTAGCGACGTGATGGCCAGAAATTAGACGGTGCCTGTCCACTCAAAGACAAGTAAATAGTAACGATAATGCTAACGTTAGCCGAGTCGGTTTTTAGATGCACATTAACGTTCGTGTTTTTAAGACTTTCGCTTGGATACCATCACTGAATTGAGTGTTTGTCGAACTTATCCACACGTGTGCTCACGGTTTATTTCTTTGACGTTTGTTGTCTTCGCCAACAGCGTTTGAATGCATGACGTTTTCCCTCCTTCGTTTGTGTCGCTTGCTGCTGCATGAGGGCTATCTTTGAGTTCACCGAGCTAACGTGGGGCGCACTTCTTTAAAGCAACAGGTCCGTTACATTAGAACTGAGTTGGGGTATAAACTAAAGGATATCATTAACTACTGTTAGATTCATCTCGCATTTGTATTAAGCAGCAAAACATATAATTAATTGAATGACTGCAGTGTAAAAAAGGCAGACTTTAAAAAAATATATACGTTAGTGTCAATTAACAAAAGTGCTCCAAATTATTCGTAATTACCGTAATTTAACGCCAAATGATAACTCACTGAAAGTTGCGCAATAGACTAACAATATAAATCCAAACGAAGATTTCACGTGTTTGACGTATTTTCCATTCAACTGTAAATGTTACTTACTCAGATAGACGGTTCACATTAGATAATGTATCCTCGCAATACAAGAAAATAGTGGTCGTTGCTCTCGCGACTTAACAGTAACGTTACATTAACCTGACATTTGGTGGCACTTTAACGTGGACAGTTACGTTAAAGTTTGTGTTGTATGGGTTTAATCCGTGTTGTTGCTGTTTGGTTCACCAAAGGAAAGCATTCGGATGTATCCTACCGCTATAAAAGGTAAATAATACGGCACTGCAATGTCAACAGTTTTACAGCACGTTATCGTCTCAATGGTCGGTGTTTACAACTTAATTTGAACGGTGCCTGTCAAAGGGGCTGCATACCAGGTGGAGCTAAACAGCAGTTTTCTGCACAGGGGGGATTTATGTGAAAACTCCACCTACGGGACAGCCCGTATCTCTTCATCAGCCCGGCCTCACATCTGATGGGGAAACTCTCATCGGTCACGGTCCTGCCTTGACTTTCACATCCCATGTGGAACTCTGCTGGCAAGCCAGGGCGGGGACGAGCTTCGGGTGTGTCATATTGAGGTGGTTTCTCACTGACGTGGTGTGGATTTTCATGATTATTTTCACAAGATTAGATCAGTTACCAGTGGATTAAGGGTTGACCACTTACATTGACCCTCTCTACCTATTTGTTGTAATCCTGACGAGCCGATTACTTGAAGGACTGCTGGAGTTGTTTTGTGTTTATAAAGGCATACAAGAGATAAGGTACACATCGGGTTTGATTGTTTGATTGAGTGGCTTTGTTGTCAAGATAATAGCTATTATTGTCTTTTAACATGAAGGAGTTGTTTGATATACATGCTTAATTTCACCCGAGGTGGACGTTTTAGGGTAAAAAAGCACAACCTAAACAACTAACCCTAACCTCAAAGCAGTTTCTATATGCTACCTGCCATTTCCTGAAGCATGGTGCTGTGTTAACCACTGGAATTTGAATTAGTAATGCTGCTGACAGGAGGCTGTCATTAGGGTATGTGGCTAAAATCATCGCAGGTAAAGATCTAAATTTGCTTTGCTGAAACCAAAGCGTGCTGTGCTAATAAGTCAGTATTTCTCCACTTCCAGTAACTTACTTTTCTTGTTAAGGTGCTACTAATCACACATTTTATACATTGTTGTAATGCTTCCCCTGTGTTCTCATGCTGGCAGTGGCAAGGTGACGCATGGGGAAATGATTTAGACTAGCAGAAACATGGGTTTGCTTCCATTTATCTCAGTTAATATTGACCTTTTTTGAATGAGCTGCGTAACATGATTTGCCTTTACATTTTCTTATTTTTCATGTGGCAATCATTCAGATGTCGCTTTCTGCAGCATGGAAGAAAATTGTATTTGTCCACTCGGTGGGTGTAAAACTGATCGACCGTTCTAACCATTTTAGATTGTACGGTTGTCATCAAACTGGCTGCAATATTTAGCAAACTTAACAGCCACAGCCACAGCTCAGGTTCCTGTCACTTTTACAGTGGCTGATCTAGAATGCCTTGCCTGGTTGGCTGTGACTTGAATGGGATGACTCTGTTAGACAGACAGCTTTGGGTAAACCTAGCAGGGACGGACCTGTCAGCAGTTCTGCAGCAGTGTGGCGGTTTTCTAGACACTGAGCCTCCCGGGTCACTAATGTTCCATAATGCTGACTTTGCCTGGCCTACCTCATTGTGTCCAGTGGTGCACACTACAGTCGGTGTTTGCCATTCTAAAGTGTAGGCTAATGTAAGTAGCCCTTTTGTGGTAAATTGTCCCTCTACCCCTCCATATGAGAGGGTTGAATTTTCTGAACAATGCTGAAGCAGACACAGCGGAAGAATCTTTATCACAGTCTGACAACTAGCAGGGCAGTTAGCAGACAAAAATTCAGTATAACCTGTTTTTTTTTTTGTTTTTTTTTGTTGTTTTTTTTTTAGTTCAAGGATGACCTCACCCTGCTGCATGCGTCACCATGTGTCTGCCAAATTAGTTTCACACATTAGCAAACAGTTAAATCGGAAACGAAGATTCGGTTGATTTTTTTCCTGTGAGGTTCAGGGATTCCCCTAGGGGTGTGTCAGTATGGACTGTGGAGAGAGTGCCAGTACCTTTTTATGTTGGCCTCCTAGGATTAAACATATTTCAACATGAATTATTTTAAAGAGTAGTCTAAATGCCTGGGGGAGGGGCCAGAACAAGCCCACTCATCTCTTGGCATGTTGTAGTAACGGGTTGCTTGAATGTCTCATCGACTTCAGTTCCTCAGCTCTGGAGCGTCTTTCAGCTCAAAGCGAGCTCGTCTGTGGTTTCTCTAGCCCTTTAGTGTGTCTTTTTGAATAGCATCTGCTCTGTACAATCGCACGATAAATTGCACAATTGCTGTTTTTCTAAGACTATTTCAGTTTGTGTTCGTCGGCTACATTGCTTCATTAATTACGGCAACTGTATTGTCCAGCCGTAGTTACACTGTGAATGCAGAAAGCAGTTTGTCAAATATGTAACTGCTAAGGCAGAGTGAGTGACAATGAGCCCATTGAGATTTAGAGATGCCACTGTAGTTGACATTGTAGAAGTTTGAGCTCATGCTGTGCTTCACTGGACTGTATGGAAACAGAAAAGGGTTCGATAACAATGCCTGCCATTGTATCAATTTATCCTTCTCTGTACTTTGCATTGACAGTTTTCTCAATAAATAAGTAAAACATTCCATATTCATGTGATGCAAAATGTACCTTGCTTCTCTACTTTTGTTTTTTACTGTCAAAAAAATCCAAAAGTCAGCCGACACAGTTCTGATGAAAGACTAGAAACTATTATCTTTTATCTCCTTTCCTTTTGTGCTTCCCTTCCTACCTGTTCTTGTCTCTCACGTCTCTGTGTGCTGTATTTGACTCTCTGTCTCTTTCTTCCCTCCTCACTATACTACATCTCTTGTCTCACTTATTCTCAGGTCGCTGAAGATGCCTGCTGTAAGGCATCAGAGAGGAGACATGGTCATGGGCCGCTGGCCTGGCAGCAGCCTGTATTATGAGGTCAAGGTGCTGGGCTTCGATGCCAAAAGTAGTCTGTACACCGTCATCTACAAGGACGGTACCGAGCTGGAGCTCAGGGAGCAAGACATCAAGGTAGCAAACTGAACATGTAACAGGCTTTTTGTTTTGTTGAAATCTTTGCATTAAAATAAAAGCGGTTGTTAGTCACAGTGTATCGTCTAGAAGCAAAATTACATTTTACCAAAACGTTTTACCCAAAATTAAATTAACAGAGCACTGCTCTGTCTTTCAATGTTTTGCCATATTCCTACTTATGATTGACAATTCTTTACATTAAAATGAGACTTTCTTTAACCGTCTGCTCTCGGTTAAAATGTGTAATGTAATCGGTATACTACTTTTCTACTCTGGACTGCAACTCCAACATTCAGGAAAGTTTTTCACAGACTGTCGCCATAGGGCGCTCACACAGCGGCATGACGGCTCCTCCAAAGTGAAGCCAAAACATCTCTAAGTGTAGGAAGCGCTTGATTTGATATGAAGCTGAGTTTTCCATGAGCAAAGCTCGCATGCTAAACTTCAATATCGCAGTCTATCATGGTCGTTTAATTGCGGGGGAGCCCAAATTGTGACCGATTTATATCTGATTAATTGATATCTGAATACCATTATATTGCACAAGCCTTGCAGACAACCTCTTTTCGACCCTGCTGTGTGAAGCTATTATATTATACACAAGATGAGACTATCTTTTCTGTCTCTCCTATAAAACAAGGCACACTCGTTATTATTGGTTGTAATCCCTCCTTTTGTTCTCAATTGCTGTTTTTCCTTCAGAATGCTTCAGATTTCTCGATCCGCCCTCGCTCTCGATCTCGATCTCCAGGCCGCCGCTCCCGCTCCCGCTCCCCAGCAAGGACCACGCGGCGCTCGCCCTCCCGCAAGGCGGCGGCTGTCGCTGCTGCAGCTCTAACGGATGGCCCGCCGTCCTCCCGCAGGGATACAAGGCTGAAGGATACACTAGAAGTCAGGCTGAGTCCCCTGGTAAGTGCCACAGTGGCCTTCTCATCCTCTTGTCTCAGCACTGGTGATGTTGGAGAGTCTGCTGTACAGAAAGAGATTGATCAAAGGATATCAGAAAGAGTAAATACTGTGCCATATAAAGTGTTACTGTTCATCTCTGCCACCTACATTGATTTGTATGCAGATGTCGCATCAATTCACTTTATCTCGTGCTATAGAGTAACATTTCCTAGTGGACTGTCCGATTAACGTTAATGTAGTCTATGAAAGAAATGATAGCGACAATAAGTGTCAGCAATGTCATTCATCAAAATCTTGCAACACCAAGCAGAGCCTCTACTGATTCAGTTTGTACTAGCACAGTCAGTTTATAGAATGTGCCTTGAATGCACAAGAAGTTTTTCCATTTTTGCTTCCTGCAACACCAACCTAGTCATACAGTACATTTGTCATAATTGCATATTAATCTGGGTGCCCCACCACATTAGAATACTCTGCTAAACTGCTCTTTGGGCTTTCCCTATTCTCTAACTCGCCCTACCAGGCCATTGTAAGTAATCACAATGTGGCGCAGTACAAAATTCAGTCTGGCTTTCTTGTGGTTTAGAGCTATATAAGATAATCTGTACCTCAGCGTCGGATGCAGAAATACCTTTTGATACAGCAGTCAGCGCAACAAACAAGCAGTTTAAACAGAAGTACCCAATGATCATGAAGACAGCAAAGACCCTCCCTGTGGCTTTTGTTTGTTACCCCTAACCCATGTGTGCCCAAAGACTACATTTAGTCAAATTCGTCATGATTGGTCAACGTTGGCCGTTGAGCTCTGTGCTGTCAGCAGACGAGCTGGTCACTGAGATTCCTCTGAGCAGCACGGTGGGAATGAATTACAACATAATAAGTGTCTGAGTAAGTTAGTTGTTCCAAATGTTTTCAGTTTGATGCCTTCACGGCTTATTGAAGACTTGTAGATGTGACGGATTACAAGCTTCATTTCATCTTCACTCACGCTGTAGAACTTCCACACTGACGACATGTTGACATGACAGTGGTGTGTGTGTGTGCCGACGTAAAACTATCGATGTTGCACACATGTTCAAACGTGAATGGCATTTGTCATATTGGGCTGGATAAATATAATTGTCTTGACTGAAGTTAAAGTTGTGCCATCAGTTGATTTCCAAAAGGAACATTGTTATCTGGCAAGATTATCATGAAATGTCCTAAATCATCATTACCATGTTGTTGTGGGGTTTCTGGCTCTCTGCAAATCCTGGATTTTGACCCGAACCCGTCACGTTCCCTCTGCCTGTTCCTCACGTTGCTTTCTCCCCCCCTCCCCTTTGTCTCTCTTCATCTCCATCAATCTCCCTCCATTGTTTGACGGGCAGCAACAGACAAAGGCAGCTGAGAACAATAGCAACAATGGGCAGGAAAAGAAAGAGGAGAATAACACAGTAAATGTGGTGAGTTTTTTTTATTATTATTTTGTAATTAAAAACGTTGAAAAAGGTCAAGAAATAAATCTGTGGTGGACAAGCACATTGCCCCGAACACAAATGAACATCAAAGCATATGAAGACGGACCAAAGTCATGAAATACACTCCAGGAAACGTCTGAACACACCATGTCTTTGGATTTGAACGCTTTACTGCCACTTTTTTTTTATTCACACACTTTTCCACTGTTGCGTCTCTCTCTTGGGTTGAAATTATTTTTGTCAGACACTATTACAAAAAAACCAGACAACTGATTTTACAGGCGCTACTCTACTACTGTCTCAGAGTGACTGGCCTTTGAGGCAAGTTGGAGCTAATGGAATGTCATGATGCATGCATGTTGGGGGGGGTGTGGGTGGGTGTGTTTTCCAACTGAGGGAGGCTCCCCTCACAAGATCGTGCTTCATTTAGCCGGTCACATGGCGTACCAACATGTGCAACTTCTTTACATTCCCTGCCTTTTAGGGTCCTACGTGTAGAGCGGTAGACATCTGTGATTCTAAAATGAGTTGATGTATAAATATATACTACATTACTTCAATCCAGTTTTGTCCCGTTTTGCTAGCTTTGTTGTTTTTGCCCAAATGAGATCCCTGAGTAGGATTACAGACCTGAGACCAGCTAGCCTCTAAAGTCATTGTAAGTCTGTATGGTTATGAGACCTAATCTTGAATCCTAGATAGGTACACCCTCTGTTAGAAGTGTTTTGAGAGCTCAGTCATAGCTTTGTGAAAATAGTTTTTAGTGAACAGAGAAAGTAAAGCCGTACTTGGTGAACATATTTAAATTTACAAACAAAGTTAAATGAAGAGAAACATGATTCAGTAACTCGAATAGATCCCCAAGAGCTGTAAATGAATTATGTTGGGGATCTTGACATTTTTTAAATTTGAATCTTTGGTGTATGATTTGATTTAAAATGGAATCTCATTCAGTAGAAAAGCCATTTATACAAACTATTTCTTCTCAGTGTTTTAATTTGTATATGAAGAAATATTTAGCCTGAAGGCAAACCTACAGTGCAAATGTTTTAAATGACGGTTATCTCAACTATTCGACATCAAAACAAATCTGCCTTCTCTCTGCTGCATTTGTCATTGTTTCAGTCATCCAATGATGTAGAAGACCAATTCCCCCCCCCCCCCCACTGCTACTCAGTCAAGCTGTCCCACATGGAGTCCACACTGTCACTAACTCTACTCATTGTATAAATATTATCCATCTATTAACAAAAAGTGGATTCAGAGAGAAGCAGACGGAAGGGTCTACAAAATGTGTTTGAAGGATGTCGAACTGATTCATCAGTGGAAACAGGTTCAATAGATAGAAGCTACAGATCACAGTGTAAAAGTGAACCATCACCTGGTGATGGAGACTGAACACAATGAAATATAAGGAACACTGTTCTGGCCTTTATTTATTGTTACAATTATTCAAAAACGGCATGTGTAGACTTTCAGTATTCCTTCAAGAGCTAGTGTAGCATTGAAGTGCTATTGTCGGTTAATGAAGTCCTAGCGTACTCTACTAATGTTAAAAACATGTTTTACAAACTTGTATCTCCTTCCAACCTCCCCAGTATCACTATTACACCACGTTTAACCAGGACCAGCCTGAACCTTTCAATCAGTCTATGTAGCACAGTCGGATAGCTGTCGGACCCTGGTGGAGGCTGACCAATGCTTCGATATGATTGGCCAATCTGTGTCTTTCTTTGACCCCAAATCTTATAGCGGTTGAACCTTCATCGGGTTAAGTTACTGTAGACAAGACATTCAAATTGAAACACCCAGCCTTTATGTGGATTTGTTTATCGGAACTTTACCTGATGAAGGTCTGATGATCAAAACCTCGTCAATCAAGTGATGTCACTGAGACTTTATGCTGCGCAAGATCTTTGTTGAAATTGGGAGCCCACGTCTTGTACAACTTTTGAATTTGATTTGTATGTTTTTAATAATCCAAAAATCTTTCTTCAGAAATCTGAGGCTACGGTAGAGGCGGAGCCTGATCAGAGCCAAGGCCGTTACAATCTGCGCCGCAGGAAGAACACTGGAGATGCCAAACCAGTCGAGGCCAAACCAGAGCAGCTGGAGGAGGAGGATGCCAAGCTGGCTGCTGCTCCTACAGTTCCTGCTGCCTCCCTCACCACCCCTCTGGACTTTGGAGGCAAGATAGGTAGGTTATAGAGTGGATAAGATCTGCAAAGACTCCCACAGTTTAATTTAGGGCCCGGTGCTTTCAAAGGCACACAATTGTATTTATTCACACTTCAGTTCATTTATGTATTTTCAATTTCCGTTGTTCGAGGCTGTGTTTTGAGTTGGACCCTCCTGACACAGTGTCAACAATACCAACTCATATTTTTGATAAATGCAGTATTAATTACAGGTCAGTTGCGTCGTACTGCATAGGTTTCTACTGTTCTGGTCACTCAGTATACTGTGTATTAGTTAGTGGGTGTTAATCACTAGGAGGACTGGCTGGCATAGCGATCCTGGCAGTGCAGGTAAAGACTAGGGAATGCTAGTTTAGTTTCTTTGTTTTATTCTGACCGATAGCCGACCCTCACTAATCGACAGGATTAGTGGCTTTTTGCACGCAGGGGTGTTTGGGTTGAATTTTCTAACTCTATGTACAAACAAGGTAAATTCATCATTTATCTACAACTGCAGTGTATGCAGAAAAGAGGCACCTGAGTCTCCAGTTAACCCGTCTGGGAGAGTTAGCAGCCACCGAGTCCACTGTATCAATTAGTTTACTTGTGAGGTTATCGTCTGTCTGTCTGTCTGTCTAGCAACTCTGTCAGTGTTTCCCCTAGTTTACTGCAAGCCCGACATAACGTTGGTGATTGTCCGGTCGAGAGAGAGAGTCTGTGTGTCACAGTGAGCATGAAGTTAGCAGTAATGTTATAGCTATGAAAGCAGCAGGTGTGTGTGTGTGCGCGTGTGTGTGCGTGTGCGTGCGTGTGTGTGTTTTATTAGTTGGTGAATTAATACTAGAACTCCTTAAGACCCAAGCCAAGCTCCTGTGTCTTGCTTGCCACCTGCTAAGTAAAGTGAACAACAACTCCGGCTCTCTAAAGGTGGGCTGACCTTTTAAGGGGGACCCGCTATTCTCCTTTAACCCTCCGAAACCCAAAACTCGCCGGCGGGATGGAAAAGCGTTTTCTTTAAACAATCACCAAAACTACACCGTTTATCACAGCCAGAAGCTGTAAAAACTGTCCTTATCTTATCTTTCCAACGCTCCTTTTTTCCCAGCCGGGACTTTAATGCAATAAAACTCAAGGCCACAGAGAGAAACGTGACTGGAGCAAGAAACGCCCTGAAACTGCTCGGGGTTCAGAAGGTTTAGTGACAAGCCGCTCCTGAGTTTTTAATATATTTTATTTAACTGTTTAACTCACAGCATTAATTGGTCAAAGTTCTTGTTGATGGTTAACGGTGAAACAGTTAATCATTAACATCCCTCGTAAAGAATGAATCATGCTTTTCCCTGCGGGACAATAACTCTTATCTTATGCAACATAAACCTTTGGTTTTAACAGAGTTCTTCTGTGCTCAACATTTCAGAAAGGATTCACTGAATGCATTGCTATGTGTAATACACTAGACTGTGGTGTCGTTGTAAAATGAACCTCACCAAACCGTCTTTTCCTTTCTCCAGGAGCATACTTCTGGCTGCTCTTCCTGCCGGCCTGGGTTCTCTTCCTGGTACTCCAGGTCAACCAGGAGGACCCCAGTCTGACCAGCTTCCCTCCCCCTCTGCCCCCTCTTGACGCCTTCTGGGATGCTCAGGCTTTTGGCCTTGTGATCCTCTGGATCTTATTCCAGGTCCTGCTCTACGTGCTGCCTGTTGGGAAGGTGAGTGAGAAGAGCCGAGAACTGAACACATAAAGAAAAATGCCCGCATGAGTTAATGAAGAGAAATAAAGTCAGTCGATGCACATGAATGCAGTCTGTTTCCCCCGGTCACCATCAGTACAGTATTTCACTGAAGTCAGAACACACGGTGGAGGGGGTAGCTGCCTTTGCTCTCTCTATTAACTGGTACAGGGAAGACGCACGTCAACCAGCGCATGACTTTGGGTTTGTTATCTCTGGCAGGAGGCAGAAATTGGATTAATGGTCAGGAGTAACGGTTAATTAGATTCTCCACAGGAACAAGGAAGCTGTTCTTTCACCTCCTGGCTCATCTCTGCCTCTTGATATCTTACACTAACTAATTACGTACCTAAACGATAAACATTACATTTTTTGTATTTGGTATGTCGGAAGAAATAATACTTACTTTCTTAGCTCAAAAGCAGCTGCATGTCAGTTAATCCAAATGTCTTTTGTTCCTCTCTAGCTGAGCGAGGGCATGCCACTTCGGTCTGGGGAGAGGCTGAAGTACAGAACCAATGGTGAGGCTGTGTGAAGTGAGCATTGTCTCCAACCCCACCCACAATCAAGTCATTCATTCAGCTAGCATTCACCAATACTGACTGTTAAATTGAGGTGCTGGCTCATCTGTTACTTTAACTGACAGGCTTAGAGCATGAGTAGACAATGCTTCTGCTATCATTCAACTTTCTTTTTAGTTTTAATCAGTTTTTTTGTCTTCCACGTCGATCTTTCTTCCGTCCCATCTGTATCTAAAGCTCTGTGTCCCTCCAGGTTTCTTCGCCATCACGGTGAGCTCTCTAGTTGCAGTAGCAGCGGTGCACCAGGGCGTCGACCTCACCTACATCCACAGCCACTTCCTGCAGCTGGCTGTGGCCTCCTTCCTCATCGCCGTCCTGCTCAGCGTCTACCTGTATGTCCGCTCTCAGTACGCTACCGCGGAGAAGCTGGCACTGGGGGGAAGCTCCGGTAAGGGGGGGTGCAGAGTTACCTTCTCACTGCTCAGACACATTGTGTTGTGCCTCCTGATGTCTGATTTCTTTTCTCTTCTATTTCACCAGGCAATGTGGTCTATGACTTCTTCAAAGGACATGAGCTCAATCCACGCATCAAAGAATTTGACCTGAAATTCTTCTGCGAGATGCGCCCCGGTCTGATTGGCTGGGTGAGTTGTCATGGGACACCAAAGCAAATATTAGTCTCAGTAAGACATTTAGTGAGCACTTTAAGTACGAAGTTTATTATTATTGTAAGCAAAACAGGCCTTTTGTATTTCCATAGCCAAATACACTGAAAGTAGCAACAATGTTATTTTAAACATGTACCTTTTATACCACATCTGTTTCAATGGGGCCTGTCATTTTCTATACACATTGCACCCTCTGGTGGCCACATGTGGAATGCATTTTGAGCCTCAGACATATGGCATGAGCTGAATGAGCGCCTTGTGTTTGCTCATGGCTATGGGGGGAATGCAGACCTTCAGTTCAGATTTTCTAGCAGCTCGTGAACATGGGTCTATCAGGCCTGCACTACATTGTTTCTTCAATATTTGAAACGTGAAACATTGGTAATGATTTTTCATTTTATCTGTGTGTCGTCCAGTGTTTGGTCAACTTTGCGATGGCGCTGGCTGAGATGAAGCAGCAGCGTCTGGATGCTCCATCCTACTCCATGATCCTTGTGAACCTCTTCCAGCTGCTCTACGTGGTGGACGGCCTCTGGAATGAGGTACGCTCAGCAGAGCACACGCCAACAAATGTGCTGTTCTCCAAAATATCACTCTGAGGGAATTTGATAGAACATATTGATGAATAAAAAAAGACAATGACACATGATCAACATATGAACTTCTGCCCCATCTTACTTTCATGAAAACAATGAGTGACGAATGTATCTTTCTTCTCCTCAGGAGGCCATCCTGACCACCATGGACTTGATGCACGATGGTTTTGGCTTCATGCTGGCGTTTGGTGATCTGGTATGGGTTCCCTTTACTTACACCCTGCAGGCCTACTACCTGGTCAGCCACCCCAACCCCCTGAGCCTCCCCGCTGTCGCAGCCATAATCGCACTCAAGCGTAAGTAGCAGAGCATCAAACTAGTCACTGGCCCTCCCTGTTCAACATCTGCATTATTTCATTACATAACTGCATCCGTCTATAGTTCTTGTTACTTTATCTTGAGGTCAAGTACAGCTACTCAATGACAAATGTCACGGTTCATTTAATTAAATAAAGACTAATAGTTAAGTCCCAAAGAGGTAAAGTTGATATATTTCCCCAGCCTTTAGAGCTGAGTCGGATGTTTGAGTTTTCTCTTTGTCTCTGTCTTTCAGTCGTTGGCTTCTACATCTTCAGGAAGTCCAACTCTGAGAAGAACGCCTTCAGGAGAAACCCATCAGACCCCAAACTGTCTCGTAAGTTCTGTTGTGGGATTAATGCTACGTCATGGTTGTGTAATGACCTAAACATTTCTTTATTGACCTTCAAGGGAAGATTACTGAGGTGGACCAGCCATTAATTTCCTGAAGTGTGAGCTCTCTAGAGTTACAGTCAATAAATGAATGATTTTCCATATGTGTGGAGTACTTTGTGCCCAACCGGTGTCCAGATAACCACCTTTTTTTCCCTTTCATTTCTTTGGCCATGTCTGTATCGCTGTGGTAACCTTTGTCTGTCTGTCTGTCCTCTGCAGATCTGCAGACGATCCCCACAGCTACAGGAAAGAGTCTGCTGGTGTCTGGCTGGTGGGGCGTGGTCCGCCACCCCAACTACCTGGGAGACCTTTTGATGGCTCTGGCCTGGTCCCTACCCTGTGGTGAGTTGGCTTCACATTTGCACTAAAGGAAATCAAACAACTCACTTCAGTATTTTCCATGGTTCACGCATGGAATCATAGTAACTAGACTATATTTATACAACATTACAGCAGTAATTAGCGTCTGAGCTCACCATACCTAGCTTGTTGTACTAAGACACTAAGGAACAGATGTTAACCTATGTACTGTTTAAAAAAAAAAAAAAAAAACTAGCCAAAATTAGCATCCCCATTAATAAGTTGAATTATGGATGCACCTGGATAACCAAGTAAGCGGTTAGTTATGCTAACAGGACCTGTCCCCTCTGAGCCTCGCTCTTCACTAGCTCCACGCTGTCATCCAAATATGGTCACTTCTGGTTCCAAAAACAAACAACCATGCTGGCGACACCTGAAGCTATGAGTGAGGTCCCAGAGCCTACGTCCATATTCTATCCAGTCTCTGCTAGTTACCTGTCAGCTATATCTGTTTAACACATCAGGTTTCAAGCACTGAAATGTCTGTTTATTATTCACTGTCCCTGTTATAAATACAAATGGCTTCCACCCCGACTCACCAACACCTTCCAGTTGATTTCATGGATTTTCTTGAGAAGTGTCACGTAAAAACGTGACCTTGCAAAATCCTAAAGCTCTGTTCCAAAAATGTTTTACTTATGGATTTTTGTATTCTAACATCACCAGTGGCTTTGGTAAAGAAAAATCAATAAATAGCCAGTGACTGAACTACTAGAGGACATTTGTAGCAGGATAATAATGCTATGAAGAGTTTACTTTGAATGACAGTCGGGTTAAAGTGTCCTGTCCTCTCTGCTGTCCACCCCCCAGGCTTCAGCCACCTCCTGCCGTGGTACTACATGATCTACTTCATCATCCTGCTTGTGCACCGAGACGCCCGGGACATGAGCGAGTGCAGGAGGAAGTACGGCTCTGCGTGGGAAGAGTACTGCCGGACTGTCCGCTACCGGATCATTCCTCGTGTCTACTGAGGAGCCTGGTGCTGGACACTCCCGAGCCGAGACCTTCTCTACCCAATATTAAGGCTCACCAAAAAAATCTAACTTAAATTTGAATGGATAATTGACTGATTTTACTTTTTAAATCTTTGTTTTTTTAATCCAAGAATTTTTCAAATCTTGATTCTGGAATGAAGGAGCAGCAGTATTTTGAATTTTTTGATGCAAGAGAAAACGGCACCCATTGGTATCATTGGTACCGTGGACTATTTGAAGAATTGCCTTTATTTTAATAGAAATTTAAAAAAAATAGTCTTTGAATAGTTTTCAAAATTCGGGAGGAATGAAAATGCTTCTGCTAGGAATGTCTTGTTAGGATGTATATTTTTGTATATACACTTGTTTTATACTTCAATAATATCTCAACATTTGCATAATTTTACTCTTTGCTCCTATATTCAAAATGTCACAATGTCAGCTTGGCTATTATGAATCATTTTTGTAAGTACGCCTTCCTGCTATAACTATACTGGATGTGTATATTGTGAAGGCTGGGATTCAAAATGCTACCTATTTTGAACTGATCTGCACAGTGGAACTGGGGCTAATGTTCTTACTCAGGACCCAGAACTTTGTCAGAAAGATGAGTTATGAAAGTTGCCTTTTTTAATTTTTTTTTTTAATAATAACATTAATCCCAAAGTGTATTTGATTTGGTTTCTTGCTACCTCAGGTTCAGTCACTTTGCTACCTCAGGTTCAGTCACTTTGCTGTGCACACTCTCTTGGGAGTGTGTGTGTGCTTAGGAAAGCAAAGTGAGGTGTGTTTGTTTGTTCCAACAGTAGCGTTTGTATCCGTTATGAACAAGTAGCGGCCATCGCACGCGTCATGCTTAACCTTGCAAACGACTGATTTTTATGGCAATGAAACCATCTGCATCATATTCCCGATCATGAACTAGTTGTTCATTTCCCACCACTGCCACATGCATTTAGTTTGAACCTATTCAAGCTTTGACACAAAGGTAATATGACAACGACAATTTTAATGAAGTTTATACTGTGACGACATGGAACGCTGTTGACTGTGCATTAGCAATTGTGAACCCAAAAAAGTATTTGTGCAGCTGTAGCTGAGTACAAAAGTAGCAATATATGAACTAGATTAGGTAGCATGTTTCTTATGCTGTGCTGACTGAATTCTTTGTACATATTTTTTTTTTTTTTGTTTTTAAATCGTTATTTTCAGTAAAGGAGATAACAGTAAAAGTAATGTTTCTCATTCGATATTTAATACTGCTTTGTATTTGTTTGGGTTTTTGTTTTAAAGTTAACTTTGAATTTTGACCACTGTAGTTATGTTTACACCTAGATCTGCCATGTGTCTGCACAAAACAAATGGTCTGTAACACTTGTCGCATGACTAAAGAAAAAGCATGTGTGATACTAGAGATGCCCCAGGACATATGGAGACGATATATCTATATATCTATATATATATATATCTATATCTATATATCTATATCTATATATATATATATATCTATATATCTATATCTATATCTATATATATATATATATATATATACACACTCATACTTAATATGATGCTGGTGGACTTGTCTCCTTGGTGTGGCAGTCTGAGTGGAAAGCAATAAGTTGGATGTACAAATGAATGCAAAGTAAAAAGACAATGCATCACATCTGTGACAGTGGCTAGAAAAAGCTTTTCTATACAAATGTTGCAGCTGAAAATAAAGATTTACAGTATTTGCTTTTCCCGCTTTTTTGTGGACTTTGTTCATTCGAAGGCTTGTAGGCCACATCAGTGGTGCAACAGTGCTACTCCAGGAAGTCATGCACTATGATTAAAGTGGCTGTATGAAGGTGAAATGAGGAGGCCTACAACTCACTTATCCAAACTTTAGACAACGGCGTTATGCACATGCATACTTCAGTGCAAATGTTTCTGATGCCAGACAGCAGTTCCACTCCCATTTTTGGAGAGAAGACCGCAGCAACAAGAAAAAAACTTGCCTCGTGAATTCAGAAACTAGAAATCCTTTGTAACTTCATTCTGAGAATGCAGTCACAGATCTCACGCCGGTTATAAAGGGGCCGTATTGCTGGTAGCAATGTCCCATGCTATATCACAAGCCATAGTATAGTATATCGAAAAAAGTCAGTATAGTATTTTGAAAAAAGTAATGGTATATTATGTAGAAAGAAATGGCATAGTTTGATGAAAAAGTCCTTGTATAGTAGGTCAAAAAAAAGTTATGGTATAAGATGCCAAAAAAGTGATAGAGTATGTTTATAGAAGTCCTAAAAAAGTCTGACTAAAGCTAAATTTAGCCAAACTATACTATGAATTTTTTATGAAAAACGTCATTTTTTGACATATCTGTCAAAAAAAGCAGAATTTGCATTATAACGTCACTGGAAAAAGTTCAGCCCAACTTTACTCACTGGAAGGCTACGTTTTTGGGACCCTCGTCATCTTGTTGATTGCTATTAAACTAGGGAGCAGGTGCAATTGGGGACGCTAATTAACGTTCCAACAAGCACGAGCTAAATTAAACCACTAAATGATAACACCTGTCAGTGATTGGAAGCGATTTACGTTAAGGTTGCTGAAATTACAGCGCACCGTTTTTACAGAAAATAACAAAGGACGCAGTCTTTATCAGCTGAAACAAAGTTTTGAGAAGAAAAAAACTACTATGGCTCGAGCCAAACCGAGTTTATATCTCGACGTTATCATGCAGTTAACTAATGTTAGCTACGACGCTAGTAACTGTTATCTTAAAAAACATTTTGTACGATTAGCAACACGATTAGCATCACGTTATACTCACCAATGTCTCCCCTTTTTCGATGCGCGAGGCGAGTGACAGGTCATCAGGTTCGTACCTTGCAGAAATGCCCGGATATGTAAAGTGTCACTCAACAGTGTTATACGGGCCTACTGATAACTCTGCGACAGCGTTCATCAGAGCCAACACTCAGGGTTCAGTTAAACAATCCAGAGATGGAAAACTCCGCTTCAAGTCTGTCTAATCAACTCTGAGTATTTAATCGTTCGCTCGTGCGTACTACGATTTACCATTGCAACAAGTAAATAATACAGTCTCTATTGGAATCCAGTCTAGAGCTACAATGCATATGAATAGACTGCACAATTGATTTAAGAAAAACAAAACAGCCTGAGTCAGAGCGGGGGAAAGTGTGATGTTAACACAATAAAGTTGTATTTATTATTGGACATTTTATTCCAATAATTACGTTAAATGAATGATCAAGTGGTGGAATCTATTACACTGTTGCCACTAGTAGATTTAAAATATTTTAGCAGGGACAAAACACAGGGGCTGGCAACAGAAGATGAAAAAGAATAGTTAAGTATTAAAAATAAAAATAGATCAAAGACAGAGAGACATGACTGTAAACGAATCTAGTCCAGTAATAATGTGTGTGGTGATTTCAAGGTTGAATTCGATTTTAACTAGTAGACATCTATTTTGATCACGGCCCAACAGCTGTGACCTTGTTTCAGCTACTTCCAACCAATGCAAATTTACAAAATTAAATTTAAGCACAGTCATTCTGCAGCTGCACCACGATCCTGCTCACTCAAGAAATATAAACGAGATAATGATGAACCCACTGTGCCCACTGAAGGAGCGTGGCTCATCTAGAAAGGGCTGTTTTCTAAGAAGTACTGAGCCTGTCAATCAAACGTCACTCTTTGACCTGTCACTCGGGAAAAATCAAGTTCTATCAAAATTTGGACTCGGATCATTCAAAAGTGGTAACTGTCACACCACAGAAGCATAGAACAAAGTTCTATGCTTATCTCTCATTCACAGATCAGCCCTTGGCCCAGGTTGTCAATCATCATCAGGCCCAACATTGTGTTTAACATTAAGGTCCCTGCAGGTCTTGATGTCTCTGCTGTCCATCTGTATGCATGAGGTAGATGAGTTGTGGAGGCCTGTGGTGCATAATGGTGGTATCAGTCTACTGCTGACACCAGCACCAGCACGCCACATGCAGCTGCACTGTATTATCTCCATCACTAGGTGGTGCTGTGCACTGGCCAAGGCCAGTATGGGAGACCCAAGTGGTTTCATGGAAAGTTACGAAATACAGAAGAACGCTTCACTGTCAACAGGTTCGACTTTGACTTTCGGGGTGGTGCTTCCATTCATTATAACATCTATACCATTTCAAAGCAAATGAGCACTAGAAGACAGCAGGAAAACACTCAAACTCAATACAAAAAATAAATAAGAATACGAGCATTCTAAAATATTACAGAATAATAATGCAAAGCTAACACCACCGTAGGGGTGAGCCATCACAAGAAAGCTTTAAGGCGAAATAAAAACGTCATAAGAGCTACAACGCGTCATAGGCACGATATGACAGTATGAAGCATTAAAGGGACCTACATCCATTTTCAAGATTCACACATTTTATTTCTACGGTCTAAGACAGTCCAAAAAAATACAAGTAAACATGACATCTCTCCCAAATCCAAAACCCGGAGTGTTGAAACCCAAACGTCATGTCATCGAGTATAAAGAGCGGAGCTGCTCCAAAGACGATGAACAGGTGACACTGAGAGCACCTATAGGGGAATGTTCTGAGTATGTGGGTACCATCGCTGTTTCACAACTGACAGCTACAATCCAACAAGTGTATAATATGCAGCAGCTCCGGACTTTATACTTCATGACATCACATGACTTACTTCTCTGGTTTCGGGCCTTCAGTGAGAGTATAGCTCATTTTCATAGATATTGATTGAACTCTCCTCTAGGCCATGGAAGTAACTGTGTAATTCTTAGTGTTGGTGGTCCCCTTTAAAAGCACTTTATAATTACATGTTGTGGGCATTTTTGATCAAAACAACAACCTGTAATTTAGTAACGCTTCAACACTGCAAGAAACATCATTTTCTCCTCCTCAAGACATATTTCATGAAAGAAAAAGATGCTCAGACCCATTAACTGGTTAAATGACTTAATCAAAGCGATGTCATTGAATGCATGTCTGCCAATTTATTACAATCACTGGTGGACAAAGTGTCACTTCTCCTAAGTAAAATAATCAGTATCCCAATGTTAAGTACTCCAACCAAAAGTCCTGTAATTTAAATTAAACTGACACAAATCAGTTAAATGTACTTAAAGGGACAGCTCACCCCAAAATCAGAAATACATATTTTTCCTCTTACCTGTAGCGCTGTTTATTTAGTGCGGGCAGGAAACTGTCCTAACTAAGGTCTGTGGATTATCTTAAGTAACCAGGTCGTGATTAAAGAAATATTGCTGTTGAGTTTTTTCAAATGTGTATTTTTTAAATTTTTGAGGCTTCGAGCGTTACAAGATGAGTGCCCACGAAGTGCCATCATATTGGACATAGGCAGACATCACTACGGCCGATATCTCCAAAACTCGGCAACTCACGCCAAAACAATCTCGATTGATAAATAACACTAAAGGTAAGAAAAAAAATAAAGTGTATTCTTTTGGTTTTGGCGGTGAACTGTCCCTTTAAGTATCAAAAAAGAACAGTAGTCACTATGCAGAGTGTTATTAGTGTTTTTGTGGATTCAGCTGCATCTTAATGTTTGTTGCTTGTTGGGGTGGAGCTGACTCATAATCATCATCATATTTTATAAGATAGTAAAGTTTTATATGTGACATTGAATCTGCAATAATGAGTAACTTCGGATGTCAGAAGTATAAGTAAAAGTAAAAGTAGCTTAAAACTAAGTGCAGTATAGGCTTCTTGAGTTAAAGTTACACTACATGTTAATATGTTTCGCACCTTAGCTGTTTTCTGCTCTCTCTCTCTCTCTCTCTCTCTCTCTCTCTCTCTCTCTCTCTCTCTCTCTCTCTC